CAAGAAAATCAGCTAGCGGGGCTAGGAAAGAGTATTTATTATAGATTACATTACACTACACTACACGGCACTATATCATTATATTCATTATACTGTTATCCTATCCTATTCAATTGGCCTGCCCCAGGTGACTGATGGACCCAATGCAGTTTTGAAGACAACATGGTTTTTTCCACGAAGCTCTGGCACGTGGTTCAGCTGAGGCCCTGGTTGTGGCTTGGAATGAGCATGTGGCAAGAGCCTTGGACTGGATTGTGCCTGCATGGACTCCCTCTGGTTGCAGATTTTGTAGAGCACCTTGGTTTACTGAGATTCTCTGAAAGTTGAAGCAACACAAGAGATACCCAGAGTACCACTGGAGAAAGAGGGCGAGTGAAGTTAACCAAGCACAGGTAAGAGCCTTTATTAGGATTTACCTTGTGGCAATAAGAGTGGTGAAGCCAACTTACTTCTCTGCTCTTATTGCCTCTGGAGATAACTGGCTGGCAGCCATGTTTTAGGTGACCAGGTCCCTCCTGGGTAAGGAGGGGATGGGGCAGCCGTAGCAGGCCCACTGTGGGGAATGTTTTTGGTATATGTCGGATAAAGTTGCTCAACTTTGCTTGGAGTTGAGCTCTGGATGGGCAGGTTCTTTGGGAATGACCAAAACATGTCTGAGCTCAGTTGTCTGGGAAGAGTTTGAACTGGTTGATCCTGAGGCAGTGGACAGGGTCCTTGCTGCTGGGAGCTCTGCCACCTGTGTTCTGGACTCATGCCCCCCCCCCCCGGTTGGTCAAGGCCTCCAGGAATGTGGCATGTGATTGGGTCCAAGTGGTGATTCTCTCTTTTGGTTTTTATTATTGTTTTGTGAACCACCCAAAGTTGTAACGGATAAGATGGGCAGCCACACAAGTCTTTTAAATATCTCTCTGTCTCTCTGTCTCTCTCTCTCTCTTGGGAAGAAGCATTCAGTTAGAGAAGATAATGTTAGGCCCAATGAAAACCCATTCTTGACCAATAAACCACAGCCTGATAGCTTGAATGCAGACTTAATTATACTTAGAGAAGACAAACAAATAAATGGGACATCAGTTATTTTGGGTCCACTGATTTCAGTAGGTTTATTCCAAGTCTGGATCCTCTTCTATGTTTTCAGATCTTGACTGCAAATTTTGATTTATGTTCTCTATTGAACCCTGAAACTGGATAGCCATTTAAAATGGAGATTTGTTAAATTGCAGCTCTTGGAATCTCTCTTCTCTCTGAATGTTTGTTTAATTGGTAAGTCTGGAGCCTTTCAAGTAATTTCAAGTAAAGTTCAGTATTCTTTCAAGTGATTTTTGATCACATATATGGAATGCACTTGAAGTGTATCTACTGAAATCTATTTAGGTAGACATATGCCTCTATCACAGCAAGAGTATGCTTTTTAAACAACTATTTTAAATATCTCAATCCTGACTTGATTAGGTAGATAATATGGGGGTCTATCATTACAGCCAATGCCCCCATAACATTATTTTCAGGAAAATTTGTTCTACTGGTTTAATATGGTATTTGAATGCATTATAATTGAAAGATTTACCCTTTCTTAACCAGTTAAAACAAGGTTGTGATGTTTTATTTATTTTTTAATCCTACTTGGAAATATAAAATACTTTTATGTCTGTTAAATTAGGTCATCTGTAGATGTTGTGTGTGTGTTTATTGGCCTCTAGGTTAAGGCATCAGCAATAACATAATATTATTCTACAGTGAAGGATTCTCAGGGCACAGTATATAATGATTCAGATTCAATAAATCAACAATTCTTAAATTTTTATACCTGAGTCTAGAATGCTAACTCAATAAGTCTTGATGAGTACATTGATTTTTTTAAAAAACCAAAATAAATGTTCTGTAGATTTTGCAAGATCACATTGCTACCTTGACTGCACCACTGTTATTACTATAAAATCCATGAAAATAGAGAAGGCATCTGGTCTAGATATTTTTCTATAATGGTGAAAGACACACATGGAATGTTTTGTTTCTATATTATACTGTATTATAATGGTTTTTTAAAAATATAATTTTATTGAAAGTTTTAAAAACAAGAAAAAATTAATACAAACTAAAATAGAGTAAGAAAGAAAAAAGAAAAAGAAATAAAAGAGAAAGCTAAAGTGCAAAAAGAAAAAAAAAGAAAAATGGTAGAAGCAAAATAAGGAAGAAAAAGATATAAGGTGGCTTCCAATTTTCTTTACAGCAGTTATAAGTACAATTGTAAATTTACCTCTTTCTCTAAAGTTACATCATGACTCTTCTTTCTATAATCTATCCTATCTAATTGTCAAAACCATAGATTGTAAGTTCTTTTTTTTTCTGTTTTATGGAAAAAGTCCATAAGGGGTTTCCAGTCAGCAGTAAACATAGATATTGTCTTTTCTCTAATCAAACAGGTCAATTGGCCATCTCAGCAAGTTCTATCATCTTCACCAACCACTCCTCCATTGTAGGTATTGCCAAATCTTTCCATCTTTGTGTGTACAATAATCTCGCTGTGGTTATCGTATATAAAAACAAAGTTCCATGACTTTTTCCAACTGTTTATCCATCAGTCCCAAGAGTAAAAGTTCTGGTTTCAGTTGTATATTAATCATTAAAATCCTCTGAATCAGTATATTTAGCCTTTTTATTTCTGTAAGTGTGGATTTTTATAACTTTTAATTATGTATTTCTGATTTTAGTTTGTTGTAAGCCGCCCAGAGTC